TTTAGACGAATCATCCATTTTTAAAAGGCCGTTTGATGGAAACCAATCCTCCCGTCTGAGTCTTTCAAGTATTTCCCCCTGATTCTGACAACAAGGGGGACTTACTGTCAGTCATTCCCAAGCAGAGCTCACGTGGCTTTGAGCCTGCAGGTGAAACATGTACAGTATACCCGCATGAGTATTGAGCGATATTTTTGTTTAAGTGTCTGTGCACTTCTCACTGCATTAAATCTTTTATTCTCTCAGAGAGCCAGAAAGGGAGACAGAGAAAGTGAGTGTGGGAGGAATATGATGGGGGCCTGACCTAACCTATAGGGAAAGGCCAGTGCATTAGACGGAGTACAGATCAGTTCCAGCTAAGATGAATATGAGCACATAGATTGGTCTACTGTCTGGGGAAACTCAGAAATGTAGTTTTGTGTACGCCTTAGCTGCGAGGCTCGTAGGCAGCGAGTGTAGAGGGCAGGGAAGGAGGCAATCACTGCATAACCAAACAGACCCCGAGCGGAGCACATCAGAGCCAAGGGCCAAGCTGAGACGGATACATATTGCTTATTGAGCTGTTTTTAGAGTGACGGTATTAACAGCATATGGCCAAGAAGAAGTGCTTATTCTCTGTGACTTTGGCAGACTATGGAAATCGTGAAGGGTATGTCATGAAGAGATGTTGATTGTATATTAATTTAACTGCAGTTCAATAACATGATGTGATGAACCTTGAAGATTGTTGCATAGCATCACTTATATCACTTATTCTTGGTGTTATATTGCTCTTTGTTAGACATCAGCCACTTTGTTGAAAAACAACCTTTTTTCACATTGAGATCAACTGAAAGGTTGCAGTGATAGAACTTTGACTATTGAGGCTCTTTTAAAGCTCCACTTATCAATATTTCTCGTAATAACAAAAGATCAAATGGTTAAAATGAACTTGACAAGCCCACGGAAAGATTCTCTTTGCTTTTGTGTTTAAGTTTTTTCAGGGTATTTTTGGTTTATGGGTTAGTCTACGGCTCCCATCAATCCTATTTCCATCCATAGCCGGCCCAGCAGCAAACAGCAGACAGGTTAGCAACTAAAGCTTCTAAAAAAAACAGATATTTCCTCAAGTGTTGACGAAGAGATAAAAAAAGGCTGATTCAACTTGAATTAAACCGTAAGCAATCGCGTGTTTAATTCTTCATGTCATCTGCACCTGCTTGCTCTTTATAGAATAAAGTTTGGGGTCTTCATTGCTTTAAATGACACCAGATTGTTGTCATCTGAATGGTTCTTTGTAATGTGTTTAGCATTGTGCCTAGATGCACGAGTTGAAAACAATCCTGCTGATGTGAGCCAGTGTTTATAGAGAAATGGTGATGGATTCTCTCTGTGAAAATAAACCAATTACCTAAAGTAACATCAGCTTCATCTTCTTTTCCTCTCCCTCTTCCTCCTCTTCCATTTCTTATCAGCACCACTGAATAAATGCATTCATGCCCGGATCCCAGATGACCATCTCTCTCCCCCTTTTTCCCTCTCCACCACTAATCTCACTTTAACACCTCAACCTCCTGAGGCCCCTGTTCCTCCTCCCATACTGCCATCCCCTCACGCTCTCTCGCTCACCCTACGCTAATCCACTGTCCACTGCTTTCTTTGAACCCATCTCTCTCCTTCCTTCCTTTCAAACACCCCTTCACTTTTCTCTCCTCCATTCCCTCTGCTGTTGTTCCATCCATCAAACTGAGTAATGGCCGTCAGTGCAGGGAGTCACCCTGCAGATGTCTGGGACAGACACTGATCACACACACACAGCACCATTTCTTTTCATTCATCATCTTGTTCAGCTCACAGATCACAATAATGTTGAGTTAAGAGTTAAATACATTGTGCTTTAAATACACAGCTGAATGTTTGTATGTTTGGCGTTGTGGGCCTCGAGGCGGTGGAATCAAGGAGAGGAACAGCTGAACAGTAAACTGCTTGTTGTGAATCGATCCCTTTTCTTTGCAGCTCTGATTATTGCAAAAATGAGAGGCCTCGGACTCAAGTGTCCACATTTGAATTGTTTATTTATTTACCTCTTCTCTTTTCTTTTACACTTTTCTCAGCACCCTGGAGCTTCTGTAGGGTATCAAATTAACATTACATAACTTAATGAAGTACTTTACTTCCTGTACTAAGCACCAAGACTTGGTCTACTTTCCTGACCATGTTTGACTAAATCCAAACGACACAGTCTCCTGTGGACATAGTGGAAGATACTGTACATCCCGTTTGTTTGCTGCTTGACCAAAACGCAGCTCTCTTGGAAGTTTTGAAGCAGCTGGGTGTAATGCAGAGCAATGGAAGCACTTTAAGGCCTTCGGATACTGTGACACTTTGTTTCTTACATTATGACATTTGAGAATGTTGTATTTTCCCTCTGGTGCCACTAAATGATCAATACATATAAACAAAACCAGAATGACTACTGATGTGTGTCAGGGGTAGTGATGTTGTGCATGCTGGCTGGTTGTCAAGACACTTACTGCTGATTTTCATGGTGTCATCTCGCTGTATTCTTTATGAGCCATATATTGTTTATGTTCTCAGTAACACATCAGATTATTTTCCTACTTCATATATGTGCTGTGAAAAAATACTTTTGAATGATTGCGTTAATAACAGCTTAGTTCTAGATCATGCTGAACAGAAGTAAAGTAATACACAGGGTTTTTCTTAAGGTTAAGGCTCACTATTTAACATAGTCTGATGAAGATACTGCACATGTAGCCTATAATGATTGGTGAAGCACCAAGAAAAAACAAGCATAAATGTTTGCTCCAACACCTAGTGTGCATGCAGAATGAACACCCCAGTACAACCTGTTTTAAACAGGCAAACTTAAAGAGAAATACTCAAAAATACCCTAATGACCATCCAAACATAAAAGTGTTTTTTATAATCTTAATTTGATCAGACATTAGGGTTAATGTTACAAAAGACATTATTCCATAAAACATTTATCTCACAGTTTGGGGAATTGTTTGAAAGAGTATTTAACCTATTTATCCAATAAATTGTGCAGAGGAAAAACAGTTATAACAAACATGAGATTACGCTGATGATTCCAGTTTTTAGCAGTTGTGTCACATGTCATTTTGGATTCATAACATCTTGTTGCTACTCTCCACAACTCCTGAGAGGAACATTTAAATACATACATCCATCTTTCCATATACTTCACTTACATTTGTGTCATAATACCTTTGTACTTTCACAAACAATTGAATGTTTTAACTTCATCGTGTAATGGATTGTCTTTTTACATTGAAATTTGGCTATTTCTACTCCAGTGAATGATCAGAATAGTAACCACCAAAGATCAATTAACAGCCCAATAAATACAGTTGAATAAAATATGAATATAATATAGAATATAAAAAGCAATAAAAACAACAATGTATGATTATTATTTAAAATAAAGAAAAAAATATGCATGTTTATGTACATCAAATACACTTGATATATAGGCCTGCTGTATTTAAAGTTTATTTTATTTTATTTGTTTTACATTTCCATAATCTTGTTTCTAAACAGAACATGTCAAATGTTTAGTCCATGGTGAAAATAAGCTTTGAAAAAGAAAGGAAATATTTAAGTATGGAGTAAGTTTCACGGGTCCTTCCTCATTTACAGGAGTTTCACAGCGAGGACGCAGCCGCCAGGGGGCGACGTTGGTCTCTGAAACAGCCTTGACAGAGACAGGGAGAGGGGGCTCCGCTCCCAGATCCGGCTCCAGTGTCAGCTCGATTCAGTCACACAGCTCCGGCTCAGACATGGCTGAAAATTCATCCAACGTCTCCTCTTTGTTTCTTCCGACTTGTATGGCGAGATGCAGAATCGCGTATCACTCGCTGTTTAATCCACTGCACAATGGGCACGTCGCTTTGCATTATGGCCGATATTGTTGCGCTACGTCTATTACACTGGAATTAGAGACTTATGCTAATTAGCTTCAATTACTCTCTTTTTCATCTTTTTGTCATCATCTTCCAAATTGTGTGCAAGTAGTTAGACCCCCACTATTTGTGTCTCCCTCGCAACTATTCCATTTGCATATTTAATTTATGCTTTATGAATTAAATTAGCACATGATGCAACTGCATTCCAGTTAAAGGCAGCATGTGAGGGGGTTAATGATAAGAATGTGAAGATAGGGGAACTAATAGGCTTCAGGCTATTAGAAACACGGTAGGACTAAAGTACAACGCTTCATTACACTGAATAGAAAAGTAACTCATGTAAGGTCGTGATCAAGATGGAACTACTGTTGCTCACTACTAAACCACACTGAAGAGATAACTTCATTTAAAATGTTTTTTTTCAAATGTATAGATGCATGTTCATCTCAGAAAGACGGAAAGAGAGAGAGAGAGAGAGAGAGAGTGAGAGAGAGGATGGCCGCGGCACTGTGGGGTATTGCGTCACTAGCTGTCTTTACTTGCGCAGGCTCTTCACATGGTGGTCTTTGGCTGTGAGCACACTTTGCACTCTGACTCATACATTGGTATCAGAGCAAAGCTTTAATAATATCAAACTTTTGACGTCATTGCGTCAAGGGCAACCTGAAGCTTAATTGAACAAATTGTGAGCCATTTGTCATACTGGAATTTAAAGAGAGAAAATAATAATATCATATTTCAAATGAAATATTTAAGAAATACAATCAATGCAATGGTAGCTGCTATATGAACCACAAACTGCCCCGCCGATGCTTACCGTCACCCTCCATTATTCGACGTTCTTAATTCAATGGATTTGTAAAACATTTAATTTCCCTGTTATAAAGTGAGGTCGGGCCTCGAGGAGAGCGGGGAGAAGAGGATGGGAGCGCAACAGCACTTAACTGGTTTTGTTATGAGGGTCCGATGTGTGCTCTGGCTGGCGTTGCAGAGCCCCAATCAGGTGCCATTACACCCGGTGTTTGAGAACACCATTGGCTGGTGGGGAATGGAGCTGTGCGCAAAACCAACCCCGCTGCTCCCACTCGCCTTACAGAAGCCGAGCTGAGAACATCATCCGCTTTGAGCGCTTAGGCGCAGTGATTACATCCTCACACAGTGAGATAGAGAGAAAGTCCCGTTATTCGCCAGCTTTTAATCAGGAGTTACATTTGTTAAGGTTTCGGCGGCGCGCAAAGAGGAGTTTTTGCCTTTTTCACTGCTCGTTTGGAATATGTTGTTGTGAGACTTAAAAGTGAAGAAGGGACACAGAGAGAAGTGGCTTTGTGTTCTGGCTCCAACCTGCAATGTTTGCGCTGACGCCAAAACTCACAGACCGCTGCAGAATTGATTAAAACAGAGAAGCTCGGATCAAATGGCTGTGCTTCTCACAGCTGAAACGACACGATGTTCCACTGACCCGAGGCAAAGGAAAGGAGTTTCACCATCGGACAGCCCTGTTGCTGTTTATTTCACTGCCTTTCTGCGGACAGAGGAAATGGGAAATGCTCATTGCTTGTAAAAAAAGGAATAACACTTTTTTGGTTTCGTCTTGAAGTGCACTTTGTGAAAGGGTGAGGAGATGATTTGGTTTCTATTTCTGCTCTCCATCCTGGATGGAGCTGTCTCTCAGCTACACTACTCCGTGCCAGAGGAACAGGAGCCTGGCTCCGTCGTTGGAAATATTGCAGAGGATTTGGGGTTGGACATTACCAAACTTTCCGCTCGCCGCTTTCAGACGGTGCCTAGTTCAAGAACACCTTATCTCGAGGTGAACTTAGAAAACGGTGCGCTTGTCGTGAAGGAGAAAATTGACCGGGAAGAAATCTGTAAACAGATTATCCCATGCCTATTGCACCTGGAGGTATTTTTGGAGAACCCACTGGAGCTCTTTCGCGTAGAAATTGAAGTGATGGATATCAACGACAATCCGCCCAGCTTTCCCGAGACAGACATTTCAGTGGAAATATCGGAGAGCGCGATTCCCGGGACCCGTTTCCCGGTCGAAAATGCCTTCGACCCCGACGTGGGCACTAACGCGCTGAGCACATATGCCATAACGAATAATAACTATTTTTACCTGGACGTGCAGACGCAGAGCGACGGGAACAAGTTCGCAGAGCTAGTGCTGGAGAAGTCACTGGACAGAGAGCAGCAGGCAGTGCATCGCTACGTGCTGACGGCTGTGGACGGGGGCATCCCGCAGCGGACCGGGACGGCACTCCTGGTCGTTAAAGTTCTTGACTCTAATGATAACGCGCCCACCTTTGACCAGACTGTTTACTCCGTCAACCTGCGGGAAAACTCCCCTGTTGGCACTTTGGTCATTCAGCTCAATGCCACTGATGTTGACGAGGGACAAAACGGGGAAATTGTTTATTCTTTCAGCAATCATAACGCCCCGCGGATAAAGGACTTGTTTAATATTGATGCACGAACAGGCAGGATAGAGGTCGCGGGTGAGGTGGACTATGAAGAGAGTAGTACGCACCAGATTTATGTCCAGGCTAAAGATCTCGGGGCCAATGCGGTCCCCGCTCACTGCAAAGTGCTGGTCAAACTCGTGGACGTTAACGACAACACACCAGAGATTGGTTTTAGCACGGTGACTGAATCCGTGAGCGAGCAGGACGCCCCGGGCACCGTCATCGCACTGTTCAGTGTCTCAGACCGGGACTCTGGTGAGAATGGACACATGAGCTGTGAGATATTAGGAGATGTCCCTTTTAAGCTGAAATCGTCTTTTAAAAATTATTACACCATCGTGACAGACGGACCGCTGGACAGAGAGAACACAGATTCTTACACCATAACTGTGGTGGCCAAAGACAAGGGTCAGCCCTCACTCGCCACCAGCAAGTCCATAAAAGTGCACGTGTCTGATGAGAACGACAACGCTCCCCGTTTTACGCAGGCTGTTTATGATGTGTATGTGACTGAGAATAATGTGCCTGGTGCGTTCATTCACGCTGTGAGTGCTTTAGACCCTGATATAGGACAGAACGCTCTTATTACTTACTCCATATTGGAGTGTGACATACAGGGTATGTCTGTGGACACTTATGTGTCCATAAACCAGGACACCGGCTACCTTTACGCGCTGCGCTCTTTTGATTACGAGCAGCTCAAAGAGTTCAGTTTCATGGTCCAGGCTAAAGACTCCGGTGCGGCTGAACTCTTCTCTAATGCCACAGTAAATGTGATCATCGTTGACCAAAATGACAACGCTCCTTCTGTAATAGCCCCCATCGGTAAAAACGGCACAGCCAAAGAACACCTGCCGCGCTCTGCGGAGCCGGGCTACCTGGTGACGCGCATTGTGGCCATGGATGCGGATGATGGCGAGAACGCACGGCTGTCATACAGCATCCTGCGGGGCAATGAAATGGGAATGTTCCGAATGGACTGGAGGACAGGCGAGTTAAGGACAGCCCGCAGGATATCTCCAAAGCGTGACCCGCAGGGCTACTACGACCTGCTGATCGAAGTGAGGGACCACGGGCAGCCCCCCCTTTCCTCCTCGGCAAGTGTGAGTGTAATGTTAGTGGACAGTGTGGTCGAAGGCCGCAGCGGGGATCGCGGCTCAGCCTCCAGGGCAAAGGAGACCTCCCTTGACCTCACCCTCATTCTTATCATCGCCTTGGGCTCCGTGTCCTTCATCTTCCTCCTAGCTATGATCGTGCTGGCCGTGCGCTGCCAAAAGGACAAGAAGCTGAACCTGTACACGTGTCTGCTGGCCGGTGAGTGCTGCCTGTGCTGCAGCTCGTGCTGTAGTAGAGGGGCTCGTGGCCGGAAACAGAAGAAGCTGAGTAAATCCGACATCATGTTAGTTCAGAGCACCAACGTGACGTCAGGGGTTGGCCCCGTGGGGCAGGTGCCCGTGGAGGAGTCTGGTGTGGGCGGTGTGGGAGGTGGCTTCGGGTCCCACCACCACCAGAACCAGAACTCCTACTGCTACCAGGTGTGTTTGACACCGGAGTCCGCAAAGACGGATCTCATGTTCCTCAAACCGTGCAGCCCCTCCCGCAGCACTGACACGGATCACACCAACCCCTGCGGCGCCATAGTCACGGGTTACAGTGACCAACAACCGGACATTATATCCAATGGCAGTATTCTCTCTAATGAGGTAAGATAAGCCTGAATCAGGCTCTGTCGCCGGGGGCTACACTTAACCCCCTTCAAAATGTATTCAACATGCACCAAACCAGAATTTAAAGGGTTAACCCAATTTTAAAGATCCGTCAGAAATAACCAGCTGTGTCTACTTCATGTTAAAGTATGTTATCCAAAAGTGCACAGCAGAGTGTCCGGGAGGGTAAAGTGGTATCTATTGGTTGTTCTGCACAGTGGCCTTAATCATCGTCGTGCGTAATGACTGATTAATTCAACTGTTCAATCCCATGTGGCCTTTTACTGTCACATCAGCCGTTATATGGCGCGCAAAAAACCCAAGCGTGCCGGAATTTGGGCATAACATTCTGTTTCTATAGAAAGGTCTGTCTTGTGCAGAGGCTCTATTTTGGTCACCTGTAAGGAAATGAGTATCATTTTGAATCCAAATAATATAATGTGCGGCTAGGAGAAAATACATGAAATACATGTATTCATTTATCCGAAAACCCAAGGACAGATAGTTTTGTTACATCAGAACGTGATTAACTTTCCCCCTTAAGCCCTTGTTGGTTGATGTATTATGTTATAGAAGACGGGGAGTGACTTGACGGCCCCTCTGTATAGCTCGTGAGCTCTGCTCGGGGAGCTGTGGAGTAAGGGGCTTTTTGTTGATTACGGTGAGACTGGAGTTGAGCCAGACAGCCAGTCACAGCCTTGCCTTTCCTGTGCGTTAAATATTCTGTGCACGACCCAGCACGGCAGCACCATGAACAAAGGTTGTTCAGTTTCAGCAACGGGCGGCTCAATCATTTACGCATTCAATTGCCGCCCTAACCCACTCTCTCCCCTGCTCCCCCCTGCTCTCGTCTCCTCTCGCCCACTCACTCAGCAAGTGGATGCGCGGATCGTGGGCACAAGGCCTCTAGATGCCACAGTTGAATCTAACTAACCACTGTATGCATATGTGTGTGTGGTCAGTTTGGTGCATGGTGTATGTCTCAGTATAGATATTAATATTTGTTCATGTGTCTTTCAGACAAAACACCAACGAGCAGAACTCAGCTATCTGGTGGACAGACCCAGACGTGTCAACAGGTAGAGAAAAGCACAAACACACACCTTATTATTAATAACGTGCAAAAACCTAGTAAGCCACAAATCATTCACTCTCAGAAGACCTGTAACATTCAATAGGCCCCATGGAGCCACAGTCTATTCACATATCAATAAAATGGAATATTACACCCATCAGGGCGGTCCCTGTATATTCTGCTTCGTTAATTGTGGCTTTGAGAAGCAACATGGCTCCCAATGTATCCATAATGTTCATCTTCAATTTGGCTTCAGTCCCATAACTGACAGAGCAGCGCCCATTAAAGCTCTAATGCTGGATTTCATTACATGCCATGTGTAACATTCAATTTAGAGACTTGACGGCCACCGTGACTCTTTTAATATGGTGTTGATTTCTAATATTTCTCCTTTCATCATCCTCCAACCCATATTGTATCTGGACCTCTCTCCCTGCCTTATTTTCTCACCTTTTTCCTTTTTTTTCCTGACATATCTCTCTTCACCCCTCCCTCACTGACCTGCCTTCTCCAGCTCGGCGTTCCAAGAGGCAGACATTGTCAGCTCCAAAGACAGTGGTCATGGCGACAGTGAACAAGGGGACAGTGACCACGATGCCACCAACCGAGGGCATCCAGCCGGTGAGCCACCCCTAAATCATCTTATTACACAACCCCACTCCTTCCCTTGGTTCCATAGTGTGTATGTTTTGCGATTGTCTATGGTTAAAATGCTGAACTGTTGGTGCGAATGGGTGGCTTTTAATTTTCTTAATTTGAGTGTGTGAAGGCCCGGGCTCCGGTGTTGCTGGTTGGCTGGCTGGCACAAACAGGCCCCAGAGGTGTTGATTGTATTTCACACCCCGGTGAAAAGGAGGAACATTTGGGGAGATCTTTCCCTCTCTCTCTCTCTCTGCTCCTTTCTGTTCCACCTTTCCCTTTGTAACTCTCTGCTGTTTGACTGAGTGGTGCTGAAAGGACAGTGACTTGGAGCAAATCAGGGTGATGTCTACATTGCCTTCGTGACTCTAATCAATAGATTCACTCAAGGGGAGGAAAAGGCATAGAAGCTAAATTGATATAATGATGCTTTCAATGAGCATGTGTATGCTGCTTTGTTTGTTCCAGAACCAACTGATCAGGCGTATCAGAAGCCTATTTATTATTTGATTTTATAATGAGTTGAGGTAAGTAGATCATGTAAGAACTATGACATATCCCCTCTAGTTCATGACTCTCTCTCTCTCTCTTTACACTTAACTGTGCAATATTTTGTCCGTACAAGGCTTTAGGTCCCGTCATAAGCCCCCGCCTGCCCTTTGTTTGCTCTTAAATTGTATTAGGTTAGTACCTGTTTATTGATCAAATTGGAGTCAGACAAAAAGTAGAGCAATACAAAAACTCATTTCATATTGAATTGCCCTTTTCTTCTGAGGGATTGTTGCACCGGGCTCTTGCCTAGGCCTGAGCCTGCCAAATATCATATCAGTGCTGCGAATACAAATAGAGCAGATTTGATAGGTGTTGTAGGATAGTGAATGAACCTCATCAGGCTGCACAGTGTTTGACATTATTAATGAACAAAGCCCAAAGTGAGAACTAATAAGCAGCGTTGGTAGTGTCACTTCCCTGGCTCGCTGATGAAACTGGCTGCGAGACTGAAATGCAGAATTGAAAGAAATCAGACAGACATGTTCCTCTACTCCTCGTGAATGCAACTTTTTGTAAAATGAATATTAGCATGGATGTTGATACATACATCATCAATCATTATGTATGGTAGAAACACCTGGAACAGCACAATAATGCAGTTTGACTGATTTTCACAACAGTTTTTAGCAGTGGTATACTCAAAAGGTTCATGGATGTGTAACTGATGTGATATGCATCCTAACCTACATGCAGGTAACACCAAGACTGAGAAAGTAATCTTCTTTTTGTGGAGTACTGCATCACATATTTTCTTACTGGTAACAAGACCACATTTATGGACCAGCAACATGTTGTCTCAGCTTCATTTGGCTCTGAACAACATTGATTTATCTCTCATGTTGGATTTATAAGGCAACAGCTTAGCACTCCATGGGAGGTAATATCACACGACTGGTTTCTTTGGAAAGAGGGAACTTGAGTTTCACAGACTTCTGTAAACAACAAAACCAGACAGAATGTGTGTGTGTTTATGTGTGTGTGTGTGTGTGTACAGGCTGACTGTTGTCTGATTCAATATGTAGGGGTTTGTACCTGTATGTAATGTGTTTCTGTGTGTGTGTTTTGTGTAGGAGAAAACAAGGCGAGGTGATGATGTCTGTATTGAGAAGGAGTTTTCCTCTGAGACGTTGCTCTGGGAAGCTTCAATGAGATTCTGTTCGAGAAGAGAAAGTGGTAGCAAGTTGTTGGCCCTCTGCCAGGTATATATTGCCTATATAGGCTTACGCAAGGCTCATTTGTCTCTTGCGATATGTGAGACTTATTTTACTGAGAAGGGACGAGAAGGTTGTTGGTCACTGGTGTGGGTTGTACACTATGTTTGTGGATGAGTTTTTGTGAACCTAACTTTAGGTGATTATTACAGAAAACTGAACCAGCAAGAGCAAAGGCTATTTATAGACCACATGTCTGTATGCTGTATAATGTATACAGTGTTTTTAAACATAAGCGACTTTTGTGTGCACATGCATACACAGATCTAGTAGTTGCTTTCTGTTTGTGTATGTTGTTTTTCTTACACATGTATTATCTTTCTCGGGTACGTGACAGGGTCTCATCCTTCATTCTGTCTCCCTCACACGTTGCTTCTCCGCAACACTCGGCTGATCAGTAATTCAGTTCCAGAACCTTTACATAGCAATTATCAAAGGAGGGTTGGAGGCAAGGTTTCCTCGTGGGACTGCGCCCGGCACATTCTCCCTTTTGGTGCTCCTCAGAATATTTCAAATCAAGGAAAAACCATTTCCAGTTGGCATATCATCAACTACACCTGCCGCAGCTTCCCGCTCGGCCGCTCGTCTGACACTTTAGAAAATAAGTCTCCTGACTTGGTTTTAAATCAAAGGGACACTGCCTGTGAGGCTGGGATATCAGCGGATACCTTTTAAAAAAAGCAGGCAAATGGCTTTTGTGAAAGCAGCATGTCTGGAGTGAGGCACTGCTGCATGAGGAGGCACTATGGCTCCACTATCACACCTGTTAGCACCCCTTATTCTTTTTTTACCTCAATGGATTTCAATAAGACATTTTTTTCTTAAATATCCCCACTTATACTTTAAGATGCTGGCAGAGAAAGGGAACAACCAAGTCTAAATGATATTCCAGATAAGAGGGGGATCAAATATACATCAGTGAAAAGATGTGGCATCACACAAACCTTCGATCAGCCGTCATGCATGACGGGCAGGAGACGGGAAATCATCATTATCATGACGTTTGTTGTGGTGAGAACAACAGCCGTGACAAATGGGACAATTAAATCACTTTGGCAACGGTGTATTAGATGGCTGATTATGAATTAGTGGCGGGCACCGTGTTGCAGTTTCCCATGTCAGTGAGCTGTCAGAGGAATTTAGCACCGAGAGTTTTGAAACACCCTCCGCTCAGGCCCGAGAAACTGATCCCTGACTCTGTGATCCATGAAACTTAAACAAATGTCTGCTTTATTTCACAAGCTCACGAAATGAAATGAAAAAGTGACCTTGCTCAAAGTGAAGGAGGAGAAGTAAAGAAAAGCATGAATGTTCTCCATTAAGGATGCGTGGAAAAGTCACTTAATGGAAAACCTCAAAGTTAAGAAAACATTTTATTAACATGATATATTCCTTTTGATCATTGATTTTCTGCTGATCAATTTCTTGATTATTAGTTTTGTCAATGATGTGTCATCTCAAAATTGCCTTCAAAGATATTCAGAGCTCCAAGACAAAGAAGATCAGAAAACACAGAGTTTATTTCCCACGTTAAATAACGACACAACACCTGAGAAAGGGTAATGACAGATGTCCTAAAATGTACACCCTCTAAACAGGATGAAATGGTCAAGATGTACAGAGCGTAATGGGTCACACTGTGGCTGAACTGACTGCCTTATTGAATGTCAATAAAAGTCAATGAAGGCGGTGAAAGGGAAAGATCAGTCGATTCGATTAACTCATTAAATGGACGACTTCAGTCCCTGCAAAGTGTCTTTCTTATCTCCAACTCAGAGTGTAACATGACATTTTCTAAACATTGTTAATATACCGTAGATGGGGGAGCATAATCATTTCAAAGAATTGAGTTCTGTTTTGAAATAAATCAAAAATACAATAGGACCATGTAAAATAATCACTATGAATACACAGAGTGTGGAGTGCCTTAATGGATATGTTCTTGTGTGAATAGGCTGCTCTCTCTGAATGAACTGCTCTTTGAACTGAATTGCACATTAAGTGTTCCTAACCCTGAAATGAATAAAAAGGAGGACAGAAGCCTTCTTCACTAACAGTACCAGTATGCATGAATATGCCTTGAATCTGCTTAAAAACAAGAACAAAATATGAAAAAAAGATGTTTTCTCACTGCCTCTAACTGAGGCCTTGAACATTTAGAACAGAACGCAGTAAGACTAATGGAAGTCCCAGCAAAGCCCTGAGAGCCATAAACATGCTCTGGCCGCGAGTGACACAAATATTATCCTTTCTGCTGAGAGATTTAAATCAGTGGACATCTGCTCTAGTCTGGCTGCAATGCTAAATTCTTTTAAAAGACTCAAATACAATGCCAAGATATGTGTTCGTAAATCTGCATAATCTGAAATTTGATATGTGATATATAGCTTCATTTACACTTTATGCTTTTCGGATGCAACACATAAACTGGGCTCTATGTGTGCACATTTGCACAACGCCAATACATGTGTTTGCATCCGTGCAATAGGTTGAAAGAAGAATTTCTGTTTGTCAAGTTATTTTTTACATTTTGACCATCTTTCCTTTACCTTAAAACATTGTGCTTACAATTTCAGTTTCTTAGACATGAGGAGAAAATACATTGGCTACTACAAGTTTACAGATTATAGCACATTTCTGTCTCATTGGGAAATTAGTTGTTATGAAGATTTCTGCTGTACTCAATATCAGCTTTACTCCAACTAAAGCAATTAAGATCAATGTGGCAGAACCCTATTATCAAGTTCTCAATCTGTGTGGGTTCTGGCTTTTGGAACTAGCTGGCTAGTTGGAAATGAGTATTTCTTTTTTTGAGGAACTTTGGAAATTAAACGTGAAATGTAACTCTCTTAGAACCAAATATAGGACAAACACAACCTTGATATTGGGATGAATAGACCTACAAACCCCCTGCTTGAAAGAAAGTTGTTTTTTGTTCTTGAAAACCTTGCCAACCTATTCGCTTATGCAAAGTATTTTCAATTTACTTTTGTTAACAATGTCATCCCTAGTGGTGCGTTAAGTGTTATGGACAAAATTGAGAAAATTGAGAAAATGATCTGAATAAGTGAATTTAAAAAAAAAACATTACCCATAAGTGACGCATTCAAGAGGTGCCAGTCTACACATGCTTGTGTCTGAGACATAGCTTGGTCAAGGCTTTTTTTAACTGATACCATCAATCCAGAATCTTTGGTCTTACATTTGAAAGAGGTTTTT